CCTCGCAGCCCGTGTCCGTGCTGAGTCCGGCCGGCGCATCACCGGAGGGCGGCCGTTTCCCTGGCGGCCGAGGGCATCTCACAAACTCGGCTGCAGTGAAACGAGACGAGCGCGGACAGGCACGTGTCGGCCGCCGTGGGGCCCACGCCGGACAGCGGGAAGCAGTGGCCGGAGCTCCTGGGCCCCCGCGCAGCCTGGCCGAGGCCGGAAGCGGGTCAGCGTGGACGGGACCCTGCGTGGGGCGGGGGGACGAAGACCCTGACGTGTTTTTGAGACTTATTTATTTCTGCTTTAGAACTGGGGTGCAGACCAGACCTGTGAGAGGCTTCACAAGAGACGGTGCGGGGAGCAGAACAGGCAGCTGGCTGAAGCCCACTGCTGAGGGGGCGGCGGGCGGGCCGGAAGGGGGCAGCTGTGCCCTGGGGTCCCTCCCTGGCCGGGCACGGACTGGTGCCGCAGGGGCTTCTGGTTGCCTCCCGGCCTGCTGTAGCCCTCTGCCGCCAGGGAGAGCCCAGCCCTTGCATCTTTAAAGGGATCTTCAGAATTTCGTCTGGAGTTGCCTGGGCTGCCTGGCCCTGCCCTGAAGACCTTGAGAGGACCGGCCTCCGCCCCGCTGGCTCACCTGGCCAGGGGCGGGGCGGCCCCTTGGTCACGGAACTCGGCTTGCCATTTCCGAGGCCCCGCAGTGGCCAGCCCCTCACTCCCCAGCCGGACGAAATGCCAGTGGCCGTCTCACCGTGATTTCCCATCAACTCCGCGCATTCTCAGAATTCTTGCTCCTGGAGGATGAACGCCCCACGGGGCCCCACAGCGCCCCAAGGAGCTCTCGGCGCCCTCTGGGGAGGGAGGTGGTGCCCCGGGGCAGCCTTTCGGCTCAGCCCGCTTGGTGGGTGTGGTTGGCCCTGCTGGGGAACGCAGAGTGTTGCCGGTGGGTGCCATGGCCGGCCGTCGCCCCAGTGGCCGCGGTCCAGGAACAGGGATTCAGGCCAGGAGGACAGCGTGGCGTGGGTGGGGCGGGCAGGCACCCCGCTGGCCTGGGCCTGCTGCCCTTCTCCCTGAGTGTCCCCCACAGGGCCGAGGGCTCGGTAGCAGAGGGACTCGCCTGGCCCCCCGGTGGCCGGGTCCCTCATCCCGCCGCCCCCCGGCGTTGCTCCCCTGGCGGCTACTGGGGGCCACCCCCAAGCTCCCGCCCTGGCCCTTCTCCGTGGGGCCTCCCGCCCCGGAACCAGAGAGGGGTGTGCTGGCGCCTGTCCTCTGTCCTCCGGCTGGAGGGCTGGAGCCGGCCGCAGCCCCGACTCGGAGCTGGAGAGCGCAGAAATGATGTGGCCAACAGGCAGCAGCACCAGAGAGGAGACGGGGGAGGGGGCCGGGGTCGCACTGGGGCTTCTGGGGGGCGGCGGGCGGTCCCCAGGACTGGGGCAGCGGGGGCCTGGAGGCGGGTGCTCGCGGCTAGGCGGCCAGCGCCCCCGGGAGTGACCCGGCTGGGCCTGGCGGCCGCTCGCACCTGCCCCAGAAGAGGCTCCCTCAGCCTGTGGGCTGCCGCCTTCTGCTCAAACAGTCCGCATGGCCAGGGCTCGCGCTTGGGGCGACTCTCCTGCTCCCCTTCGGCTGACACACGAAGGCTCGGGTTGCTTCCTGGACCAGGCCGGGCCTGGGCGCACCAGGAAGCTGGGCCCCCACCACCAGCCCCCCACAGTTCCTCTTTCGGAGCCTCCCCTGATTTTCCTACTCTGGCCAGTGAGTCGGGCCAAATAACAACTTCCCCCTGCAAGGAATCTCAGCAGGGCTCTGTTAAAAACAAACTGGAGGCTAAGGGTGGACAGGCCAGGCTGGGAGCCCTCTGGGCCGTGCTGGGGCTGGGGGAGGGGCAGCCCTTTTGGGGGGCCCTGCCCAGAAGCAGGTGAGAAAAACGCCCAGTCGGGGAGCCTAGACTGGGGGTGGCTGGGCCATTTCCCTGATGAAGGCGGGTGAGGAACAGGGATTCTGAGCAGAGAAGAAGCGGGGGTCAGGAGGAGACGCCAGAGGAGGAAACAGGAGCACCCCCCGCCGTGGCGCAGGTCTTGGGGCGCGAGCTGGTGGGCCCCGCGAGCCGGCTGTTGGCGCTGGAGGTCGCGGGGGCCTGGCTGTCTCCTCCGGGCGACCGAGGGAAGACGGGCACACGGCCCTGGGCACCGAGGCGGCCTCGGCCGCCGCCAGCCTGCGCCGCTGCCATTCGCCCCGGGGCCGGGGAAGAGACAGCCGGAGCCGGCCGGTCCCTCTCGGACCCCGGACAGCGGGCAGAGGCCCGAGTGGGGGCCCGAGGGAGGCCGGAGCTGCAGGCTCACTCCAGCTCTTCCCGCCTCAGCTGCGACAGCACAGACAGGCCCGGACGGCACACACACCTCGCGTTTCACCACCGGCCTCCGTCCGGCCTCTGCGGTCACCTGCGAGAGCCGCGTGCTGCCCTAAGCCACGAGGCGCGCTCAGCCGGCAGCGGACGCAAAGGGAGGGCCAGAGCCAGGCAGCGTGAGGCTTCCCAGGAACACTGACCGCCTTGCCCGCCCGGAAAGGACGCTCCTGTGACCAGCAGGGTCGCTCCAGGTCCGTCCCGGGAGGCCAGGCCACGTGAGCTGGAGGCCGTGGTCGGGTCCTGTCTGCG